GTTTTCAGTGGTCCAAATGGCTCTAAGATTGCCGACTCCTGGCGTAACTGATTTACTCCCCTGGAGAACCTCTTAAGCCTTCAAAGCTGCTGGCCAGAGATTGCTTTTCAAATCTTCTGCACTCAGTGATGTATTTTTTTTTTAATTGAAAATTGTTGGGGGGAAAAAAGGCTTTTACAAATATTTACCTCCCCTTCCCCACCCGAACCCAACCCCCATAACCTCCCCCCCCCAACTTCCCAGAACCGAAAAGCAGAGGAAGAATTGGAGGGAATGTAAGGGTAGGAGAGAGGGGNCCTAATGAGAAGGAAGAAGGACTCCCTGGAGAAGAGCCCAAAGCTGGGAACGATGGAGGGCAAAAGAAGAAGAAGGAGGTGGATAGATGGAGTCATTGAAGCAGTAGGTGTCAAATGGACTCCAGAGGATGGTAGAGGACAGGAAGGCCTGGAGGGACGTTGTCCATGGGGTCGCGATGGCTCGGACACGACTTCACAACTAACAACCAGATTGTTAACAAAACATCTTCTTCCACCCTCGTAGCTCCTCCAGCTGCCTTCCAGGCGTGCTTAGCTTTCTGCTTCCCCCTTTTACATTTCCCTCTGCACAAAATCACCCTGCTTGAATTTTGCTTCTCTCCAGTTTTTGATTCTCACCACTCAATGGAGCCCCCTTTCCAACTTCGCAGGTGGCTTGTTCTGAACTTTCCTTATTTCCTAAACCTGGGTGGAGCGACCTGGGGGAAGAGGGGGAATAAGTTCGGAGATCAAATCTCACTGGTGGCCTGTTTTGCGGGGGGGGGGGGATCTGTCTTCCCCTAACAAAGGGTGCCTTGTACTACCAGCTTGTAACATCCCGCGCCGTTTTGTGATCAATGACGCAAAGCAGGGTGGGAGAGGCGGGCAGCAGCTGGCCCTGCTGGCATCGGAGGAAAACATCTGGCTCCTACCAGGGCAAAAGTAGAAGAACTGGCAGCAGGAGACTGTAAAATGACCCATCTCTGGGGCTGTTGTTGTTGGTTTTTTTGCTCAATTCGGTACAAAAGCGAAGATTTGCATTTTGTGTGTAGGAAGTCAGCACTCCCTACTTTCCTAGAAAAAAAAATGAGATGTTTTAGGAAATATTTTAAAAGGCAAAATATTTCCCCCTTAACAGGAGGCAGAAATCCAACCTTTGTCAATGGAGAACAAATGACCAGTGGAACAGCTTGCCACTAGAAGTTGCGGATGCTCCAACCCTGGGGAGTTTTTAAGAAGAGATTGGACTGCCATTTGTCAGAAATGGTGTAGGGTCTCCTGCTTGCGCTGGGGGTTGGACTAGATGACCTACAAGGTCCATTCCAACTGTGTTATCCTGCTAATGTGCCAGTCTATTCTGCATAACAAAGATCTACCCCCTTCAGGCAGAGTCATAGTAGGAATTGCCCAAAGCCCTCTCCCCATCTCACCACATGGCACTTGGGAAGATTACCGTATTTTTCAGAGTGTAAGATGCACCTTTTTTCCCTCAAAAAAGAGGGTGAAAATCTGGGGGCGTCTTATACACTGAATACAGCATTTTTTGCCTCCCGAAGTCCCACCCCTTCCCCAAAATGGCCGTGAAGAGTCTTTAGGAGGTTTCCAGAATGTTCCTGGGGGCTGGGGAGGGCAGAAATGAGCAAAAACCGGGCCGTTTTTTACTTAATTTTGTCCCCACCCCACCCCCAGGAACACTCTATAAGCCTCCTAAAGGCTATGCATGCCCCCCCTTTTTTTGACAAAAAACGGGCCCATTTTCGTGAAAAATTGAGCCATTTTGGGGAGGTCTGCAGAGTGCAAAAACTTTTTTTTTAATTTGCCTCATCAAAATCTTGCTGCGTCTTATACTCTGAAAAATATGGTACATCACCCAGCAAGGCTCAACCAAGCCCATGGGAGTCTGACAACCAAGGGGAACACAAGCTCAAATTCAAAAGCCCAGAGAGGGTATAAAACTCCGCATCTCTTCCCTTTTTTTCTCTTCGCCCAACATCTTCGAGGCGTGTGATCCTGTCCACCATTAAAACCATCTTTTCAAGCAGCCTCCATGAATCCAGGGTCTTTTTCCCCACTTGGAACTGAACCCAGAAGGACATCTTTTTGTAAGCCGCCCGGAGTCCTTCGGGATTGGGCGGCCTATAAATTTCATTAATAATAATTGGAATTTGTGCAAAAATTATAATATTAAAACAGCAACAAACTGATGGGAACATAAGCCTGAAAAAGTCACCGAAAATCAGATGGTCAAGATCNTCAGTCCTAGAGGAGATCAACCCTGACTGCTCTTTAGAAGGCCGGATCCTGGAGAGAAAACTCACAGACTTTGGCCACTTAATGAGAAGGAAGGAGGACTCCCTGGAGAAGAGCCTCACGCTGGGAAAGATGGAGGGCAAAAGAAGAAGGGGACGACAGAGAAGGGGACGACTGAGAAGGAGGTGGCTGGATGGAGTCACTTAAATGAGCTTCAATGGACTCCAGAGGATGGTAGAGGACAGGAAGGCCTGGAGGGACGTTGTCCATGGGGTCGCAATGAGTCAGACATGACAACAACAACAGCAATTTAGTGAAAAGAAGGACCAGGGGAGACATGATAACAGTGTTCCAATATTTTAAGGGCTGCCACAAAGAAGAGGGAGTCAAGCTATTCCCCAAAGCACCAGAAGCAATGGGTGGAAATTGAACGAAGAGAGAAGAAAACCTAGAATGAAAGAGAAATTTCTGGACAGTCAGAACAATCCAATGGAACCAGCAGTCGTGGCTGCTCCATCACTGGAGGCTTTTTTTAAATTTAAAGACTGGATAACCATTTGTCTAAAATGGCCATAGGGCTGTGATGGTGAACCGCGAGGCATTACCCTGTCAGCTCCAGTGCGCATGTATGTGCTGGCCAGCTGACTTCAGCCTTCTTTTGAGGCCATTTTTCGCCCTCCGGAGGCTTCAGGAGGCTTCCCTGAAGGCTCTGGAGGTTCAAAATCGGCCCTACGAGCAAACCGGAAGTCACCATTCCCGAACTTCCATTTTCCCCGTAGATCTGTTTTTTGGAAGCCTCCAGAGGGGGGGGGCTGTTTTCATCCTCCCCAGGCTCCTAGAAAGCCTCTGGAGTCCGGGGAGGGCAAAAAGAACCACGCCAAAAGTTTAGGGGGCACTGGTCGCGCATGTATGCGCGTGCTGGGGGGGGCACGTGCCCATAGCATTATGAGTGTGGCACCCCTGTGCACACACACCCCTGCGCTCCTCCTGCTTTTGGCACAGGAGCCAAAAAAAGGTTAGCCGTCACTGGCATAGGGCTTCCTGGGGGTTGGACTAGAAGACCTCCAAGGTCCCTTTCCAGCTTTGTTTATTCTGTCGGTTTCGCAAAGAAATAGCTGATCTCCAGCTCCGAAACGGAATCAGCTTGCCTGGTCAGCTTCCTGAAAGGAAGTTCAGAAACTCGCCGGCTGACCTCCAGCCCCAAATCAGGAAACAGCTTCCTTCTGGAATTCCCTCTTTTTCTTTTTAAACAAAAAAAGAATCACGACGATGATTCAACCATGACCAAATGTGGTGGTGGGGGGGGGACCCGACGGACAGAGAATTGGATCCCTGCTGATTTCGCTCGAGTCGTTTTTATAAAATTGGAATTTCCCAAAACTTTTTTCACACACAGACACACACACCAAAAAAAGAATGGGGGAAATATCCGAGTATCATTCCAGCCTAGGGACGCGGCGGCTCAGTGACTCACATGCTGAGCTTGTCGATCAGAAAGAGGTTGGCAGTTTAGCGGTTCGAATCCCTAGCGCCGCGTAACGGAGGGAGCTCCCGTGACTTGTCCCAGCTTCNGAGATCAGCACCGCCCCCTAGTGTCAGGAACGATTAGCACATACGTCCGAGGGGAACCTTTACCTATCACTCAGATAAATCTGTGCTACTGAAACGACGACTCAAGTCAACCTGGGAAGTCGGTTTTTAAACTTTTTTTTTAAGTCCCACTGTGTGAGTTGTTCACACTCCGCAATCTGGAGATGAAAACACAGATCTGTGACCAAAAAAGAAAAAAGAAAACAGCTAAAGTGGAACTGTTGCACCGACAAGGACGGTAGCATTTGGCTCTCTTCTGCCCTCTGAAGCTTGTTTGGATGTCTGTTTTGAACTAATCCTTCCCAACCTCTTGGATCTCGAAGGCATTAACCATTCACCTCTGGCCTTCCAGTGATTCCAACCCCCCCCCCCCTTGGATCTAAATAAAAATCTCACCAGGGCAGGAGAAAGATGAGTCGTAGCCCACCCACCCCTGGCCTCTATCAAAAGGGACTTTTTCCTTCGCGAGGGGGGGGGGGTAGGTTTACTACAAGTCCAGGCAAGTTATTTGGAGACACTGCCAGGATGAGTCAGCCAAGAGCTGAGAGGGATGAGCCAACTTCTAGAATGATGCTTGCTTGGCAATCCAATTGCATTTCATTCCAAAATACCAGGATTATTCTAACGTAAAATAAGAGGAGGAAGAGGGAAATTAAGCACGTTGTGCAAATAAATATAGAACTGGGTTTGCTCGAATGCCGTGGGGGGAAAAAAATGAAAACGTAACAACGGAAGGAAAGAGTAGGAGAGAGGGAAGAGGAGAAGAGAGGGAAAGGAGAGGAAGAAAGGGAGGCGCAGTAAGAGTAGGAGAGAGGGCAGGAAGAGGGGAGAGGAAGGGAAAGAAGAAAAGAGAAAGGAGAGGAGGGAAGAAGAAAGTAGAGAAGAAGTGAGGGTAGGCGAAAGAGAGAGGGAAGAAGAAGTAATATAGGATGGATGTAGAGGATGGCAGGGAAGCAATCTGGAATATATTATTATATCTCTAGGGGAAGAATTGGGTATTTTAGACTGTTGTTTGTCTGTCTGTCTATTTATCCCCTTCCTCTGTTTATTGTAAGCCGCCCGGAGTCCTTCGGGAGTGGGCGGCATACAAGACCAATAAATAAATAAATAAAGAATGGAGTTATAAATGTTAAAGGATAATGTATAACTCTAGTAATATTTATGAGAAATGAATATTTGCAAAATGTATGCATTGCCTTGTTTTTCACCCCCTCTTCCGGCAGAGTTCATCGAGATGGCTCCCTCCAAGTTGGCAATGAGTCTCCCATCATGGGTTCCTCTCCCCTTGGAGCGACCCAGCTGGACACAGACGGGGCCCTTTGGCTGGGTGAGTCCATAAGCTTGACCACACCTATTCATCTCCGCCTCCTGCCTTTGATCTCCAGCAGCGGTGGCTTCTCCATCCCAAGGACCAGCTCATAGATTTCCACTGCTCTCCTCTCCTCTACCTTCTGCGCATCCGCAGAGCTAGGGTGGCGCTTCACTAGCAGCGGTGGCTCCTCCATCCCAAGGATCGGCCCATAGATTTCCACTGCTCTCCTCTACCTTCTGTGCATCCACAGAGCTAGGGTGGCACTTCACTAGCAGCAGTGGCTCCTCCATCCCAAGGACCGGCCCATAGATTTCCACTGCTCTCCTCTCCTCTGCTTTCCTTGCATCTGCACGTCAGGCACTGGACCCAGTTGTTCCTCCTCTTCCTCATCAGCCACTTCCACTTGGGGGATGTGGACTCTCTATCTGAGGGCTGACGGATGGCCCAGCCTCTCCCTCCCTCTCTCTCTCTCTCTCTCTCTCTCTCTCTGTGCCAGCTCCATTCTCTCTTCCCCCTGGGAGCTCTCAGGTTGCCTTGACGCTAATCCTGACTCCCACGCCTCTTCCTCCTCTGAGTCAACAGTTGATAGGCCACAATACCCTAGCTTGACCTAGGCAGGGCCTTCTAAAGAATCCAATCGCCTTAATACCCAGACACGAGCCAGGAGGTGGGTTGGGTTCTCCAGATGGGGTAGAGAGCATCTCTCAGCTCCGAAGTCTCACGAGAAGGTCTCCAGGTCATGGATGGAAGAACCTGGGAGATCCGGACATGGTGACTTAGCATGGAGCTGGGACCTCTTGTCTTTACCCTTCCTCCTTGTCCTCTCCTCACAGGTGGCTTGGAGAAGCTCAGCCTGGCCCACAAGCTCCCCAAATCTTTCCTCACCGGCTTCGTGGGCTGCCTACGGGACGTGGTGGTGGACCGCCAAGAACTCCACCTGGTAGAGGATGCTTTGAACAATCCCACCATATTGCACTGCGCAGCCAAATGAAGACGCCCTGCTTCTCTCTCTCTCTCTCTCCCTCTCCCTCTTCTCTCTCCCCTCCGCCCGGCTATTGCTGTAATTATTTTCTATTTTTGTAAAACTTCTTGCTTTTTTATATTTTGGGGGGGAGGAGGGAGGGACAGGAAGAGGGGGGGGAAATCAGGGAGACGAGGAAGAAGAAGAAGAAGAGGAAGGCTCACGAGAGGATTCGGTCGGCGAAAAGAACATTCTTTTTGGGGTTACTGTTTGGTTGCAACGTTATCTCGCCCGTCGGACTCATGAGGAGCCAACGCGAAGCTTCGGAATGTGACCAAGGAACAAAGTTCCCCCCCCACACACATAAACACACACCATTTTGCTTCTGGGGTGGGGCTGGGGGGGGGTCACCGTCCACTGTAAATGTCACTCATACTTGAAGTCATTCTTTTTATTATTATTATTATTATTATTTTTAATCAGGTTTATTATTTGTTTCGGAGAGATTGGACTGCCATTGGTCAGAAAGGGTGTAGGGGGTCTCCTCCTTGAGCGGGGTGGGGGGGTTGGACTAGATGACCTACAAGGTCCCTTCCAACTCTGTTAAATCTGTTTTGGCCGACACCAACACTAAAGGGGGGGGGGAAACCGAAGACTGCGGACAGAAGGGATTGTCCGAACTGTGGCATCTCTGGAACAAGGGGGCAGCAACTCCCCTACAAACTCAAGCTGGGGTGGGATTTCCCACACATCCCACCCCCAATAAGCCAACAGGGACTCACTGCCAAAGTCCAAGAAACTGGACTCTCAAGTTTTCAACCCCGCCCCAAAGCACCCAACTACTCCTTCAGTCTTCACCCGGCTCCCTCTGATCTTCTCGTACTCGTCCTTAGAATGACAAACTGCCCAGCAATTGTCTTGTATGTAAGTGTGTGTGTGTGTGTCCACACACACACACACACACACACACACAAATCTATCCTTTATCCTCTTTTGACAGAAGCCACAACAGATTTAGCTCTCGGTAGCAGTGGTGAGAAACTGTTTTGCCGGATAGACAGGATGGTCTCGGAGGGGTAGGCAAAGGAATTGGGGGGAGGAGTTAAAACCAAGGTTGTGGGTGGGATCAAACAGCATCCCTTAAACCAGGGGTCAGCAAGCTGCAGCTCCAGAGCCGCATGTGGCTCTTTCCTCCCTCTGCTGCGGCTCCTTGTTGCCGGTTGGCTCCACAATTGATAGGGCTTTCGGTTAGGACAGGTAGAGGAAAAAGGACGCCGCGGTAGGAGGAGACTCTATGGTGGGGGAACCAGACTTCTGGTTGGCTCCAGAATTTAACAGGGGGGCACTACCGGTTAGGACCTTTGTGGCTCTTTGTGTGTTTAAGGTTGCCGACCCCTGCCTTAAACCTTCCAGGCGACGAGCTTACCTTTCTGATCCAGAATCTGAAATCTCCAAGGAAATGAGCTTAAAGGTTTTTGGATCCAGAATTCATAATTCACAAAGTTAATTTGTTATTATCTGTAGCCCGGACACCAGATCTTTGATGCTCCCTTAGATCAAGCCAAGTTGGCCGTCCACCCGATACCTGCCAAATAATTTTGAAGACATTTCAGAATGTTCCAAATAGCATCCAAAAGCAGATCAGAATCCAAGGCGAAATATTGCTCAAAGTTCAAATTGGTTAAGAGAGCCACGTTTGCAAATCTGGTGGCTGGTTGTCTTAGATGCCTGGTACTTTATGGAAGAGAAATATTTCGGGGGTTTAGCCATGCCCTCACCGACCCCGACAGGTGTCTAAAACTTTTGAGTTCCCAGTTTTACACACGTGTACATAATTCAACAAACATGTGACCCATTTTATTTCTCATTACTCATCTACGACGCTCTTCGGGGAAGTGGGGGGGCAGAAAATACATACCTAGCTTGTCTTATCTATAAATATATACATATATATTTCTATGGTGTGATATGTACAGCCAGAATCCGGTGACTTCGTCACACTCCCTCTCCTGCATTCCAAATCTTTTGGAGACACTTTCAATTGTGGGGACGTCCTTGAAAAGGAAATTTGGGTCTTCCCCTTGGAGGATGGGCAAGCGGTGTAAAATTCACAGAACGCAACCCCTCCGTCCGTCCTAAAAACACCCTGAATTGGGTGGCAGGGGGAAACTGGCAACTCCAGGTCAGGTTGGCGGGAGGGAAGATGTGATGGTTCATCGCATCCTTGGTCGCTTAGGAGACAAACCGCGAAACCTGTGTTATTTTTAATCCGGCTCGGTTCGTTCTCCGTTGGAACTGGCTACCGAGAGACGCTTGTAGGCACTGGTGACTTATTCAGGCATGGAAAGCAATACATGAGGACGCGGTTTGAATTTATTCCCTGTGATCATTTGACCTTCTTCCCCCGCAAAAACCCCAAACAGTTCCAGGAATTATTGCAGCCGTCGTAAAGGTGCTGAAAATAGAAACCATTGGGATGGCTGTACGGGCCTGTTTTTTTGCAAACTTGCCCGATGCGGAAATAATTTCCTGACAGTGAAAACCAAGTTAACCTTGCCTTCAAAAGGTGTGGATGCTCCATTACTGAAGGCTTTTAAGAAGAGATTGGACGGCCAATTATCCGGAATAGCTTCGGGCATCTTGGTAGCGCAGGGGGTTGGACTAGAAGACCTCCGAGGTCCCTTCCAACACATATTCTGTAAGATGAGTGGAATTTCAATGCCCAGAATTCTTCAGCCAACATTTTATCCTGCATTTTATGAGCCACAGTGGCGCAGTGGCTAGAGGGCAGTACTGCAGGCTCCTGTTGCTGACTGCCGGCTGCCTGCAATTTGGCAGTTCAAATCTCGCCAGGCTCAAGGTTGACTCAGCCTTCCGTCCTTCCGAGGTGGGTAAAATGAGGACAAGATTGTTGGGGGCAAGAGGCTGACTCTCTACACTGCTTAGAGAGGGCTGTACAAGCACTGTCAAGCGGTATATAAGTCTATTGCTATCCTTCTTTGAAAATGGCTGGAAAAATCCAATTTTTCCAATGAGCCGAACCGTTTCTGAGTAAGCTGCACACTTCCCTTTCCACCTGATGCGATGGTTCTTCATCCGGTCCAGTTTGGCAGTGAATCTGAACATCGGGGTCTCGTTTGTGCCCCCCCCTCCCTCTCCTGGACACCCAAATACAGACATGCCTTCAGCTGGGATTTCAAGACTGGATTTGGGGTTCTTGATGTACTTGGAGGAGAATAATATGAGTGCAAGAACACAGTGGCTGTATTTGTCAATGTGGCCTTATCTTGTCTCCTGCGCTCCATCCTACTCAATTCCCGAGACTCAGGGATGCTTGGAAACTGCCACTCCCTAAATGTGAAGGAATTGGTGTTAATTGACCTCAACCAATGGTTACTCTCTGATTATCGGGGATCCCTTTTTACCAATTTGATCGCTTAAACATTGACGTTTCTGTGGTGCTGGGGGCTAAACAAACACACACACACAAAACCAGGACAGACGTGTGTTTCAAACGAAAATAAACATGTAAAAAAAATGGAGAACGAAGCATCTTCATGTTTCTTTCCAAGCGAGACAAACTCTCAAGCCAATTTCCAGATGTTAGGTGGGGAGAGGGGAAGGGCTTTTCGCCTTCAACACCTGTAGGAAATTTCCACGAAAAGAAACACTTAGGATGGTTCTTAAATGTATTGCAGAATCTCTGTCTCCCCCCCCTCCCTCCACTCAAGGGCTCATTGAAATCAAATAAACCTTTGCAACTCTGCTAAATGAGTAATCAGTAAGGCATTTGATAAAGTAGACCATCATTTGCTACTTGATAAAGTAGAAAAATGTGGGTTAGACAGCATCGCCACCAGATGGATTCATAACTGGCTGACCAACCACACACTGTCTGTAATCTTCATTGGAACTTCGTCTGCATGGAGGGAAGTATGCAGTGGGGTACCCCAAGGCTCTGTTTTAGGCCCAGTACTCTTCAACATCTTCATCAATAACTTGGACAAGGGAATAGATGGGGAACTCATCAAATTTGCAGATGAGTTGTACCAAGCTGGCAGGAATAGCCAACATTCCAGACGATAGGCTTAAGATGTAGAAGGATCTGAACAGATTAGCATATTGGGTGCTATCTAAAAAGTAAGGTATACTACATTTAGGCAAGAAAAACAAATGCACAGGTACAGTATATGTGGCACCTGGCTCAGTAGTAACTGTGAGATGGATCTTGGAGTCCTGGTGGATGATCACTTAAATATAAGCCAGCCGTATGCAGCAGCTGCCAAAAAAGCCAATGCAATCCTAGGCTGTATTAACAGAGGGATAGAATCAAGATCGTATGAAGTGTTAAGTGTTGATCTGCTGTGTAGTATACCTTACTT